AGCTTCTTCAGCTCCCTAAGCGGGAGCGGTTTGAGCACGTGGAGGTTGTTCCTCGTCGCTTCGTCTCCATGGGAAAATCTTTGGCGTCGTTTCGATGAGCGTCGTTAAAGCTTGGCCAACCTCCGAGGTGGTTTCACCTCCATCCGGGCACCGCCTGGAGCCCCGCGGTTTCGCTGAGCTTCAATCCGGGGGTTTCTCTAACGCTTCTTACCCTCCTCTCCTCCCCGAAACTCAGAGAGGACTGACACCGAGCTGCTGCTCCTCCGTGAGCTCCCGGGACGATGAGGAACGCCACTTTCCCAGGCTCTTTGTCCAACACGTTGTGAAGGCGAGATTGGGAAGGGGAAGGAGCTGAAACAGGACAGCGGGCGGGCGCAGAGGGTGAAAACCCGCGACTTCGAAGCATCTTTTCGCCTGCCAGAACCCAAACAAATCCTCCCTCACCTTTTGATCGCTCCCATGGCCAATTTTTCCTCCCAAGAGCACCCTCTTCTCGCAAACTTCCGCCGAAGTGACAGGCACCTCCGCGATTTACCCCCAAAGCAGAGCACCTCGTCCCCACTGCAATCCTAAACTTGGAAGAAATACTTTTAGGGAAGACAGTTTTCAGGCCTTTTTTTTTAGGGGAAGAGCTTGCCCCCATGACACACGACATCTCCATAAGAAAGCTGCAGAATGCCGGAAGAAAGGCGGCTTTGTTGTGCTTTTCTGCAGCGCTAAGCAGTGCGGGCTTTTGGTTTCCTCCTCGCTTGTTTTTTTTCTCTCGAAGCCCAGCTTTCATCTCAGAGTATTTATTTTTTGCAGCTCGAAGGAGGGAAAAAAAAAAAGGCTCCTTTTTCTTTTTTTTCCCCTTCTTTAAATATATATTTATTTTAAATTAAAATAGCAAACGTCTGGGCCTTTTGTGCCTTTCCTTGCAGAATGTACTGCCCGGTCCTCTGCCTCTCTCATCCCGTGCTCACCCTTTCTCCCCAATGATTTCCCTCCATTCCCATTTTTTTTCCCAGCTTTCTGTCCCTTTTTTTTTTCTCCCTTTTTCCCCCTGCTGAATTTCACTGCCCTTTGGGTCCGAGGAGCCCTAATTGGAACAGGCCGGCTCCTCTCCTTGCTTCCTGCGTGGGAGTGAGAGGCAACGCTTGTGAAAACAGTTCAAAAGTGCAGACAAATTTTTTTGCCTAATCCCGCCTAAATAACAGGGGGGCTCAGCTCGGGGTTATTTGCTCCCGGAGCTGGGTTGGGGGGAGCACCTGGGAAAGGCAAAGCTGCCTTGAGGGGGGCGCAGAGACGCCCCGACTTGGTGGAAACTTGAGATGGGGTGATGATGCCCAAGTTGCTTCATCGAGGAGCGTGGGAAGGGTCTCGGCGTCCCCTCTCCCTCGCCTCCTCTTACCCTGAGAAAGGTT